TTGAGCCACAGGTGCTGAGCCTACCATGCTACTCTTAAGTGAGTTTCATAGACCAGCAGCATCAAAATCTCCTAGAAACTTTTGAGATATGCATCTCTGTTTTATCACAGATGAATCAAAAATTGCATTTTAATATGATCCCCAGGTGATATAAACATAAAAGTTTGAGAAGCACAGCGGTCTAGGGGAGTGCACAGATACCATAGAGGTGACCTAGTCGATTTTCAGGAAAGGTGATTCTGAGTTTCCTTGACCCTCAATGTTACATTTGTAGAGAGTGCATTCAAAGACCTATAGAATGTTAAAATTGGTAGAGTTATTAGAGAGTGTCTGATCTTGTCTCTTCCTTTTTCAGACAAGGAAATGGGCCCTAATTGGGAAAATGATTTATCAAAAAAAGTTATGGAAAACTTACATTAGACTGAGTTCTGAGTCTAGTGCTTATTATACTTCTTACTGTGTCTGGTTCTGATTTATTTTCTCTTCCAAAATACTAATAATTTTATTGAACATCTATACTACTACCTCAGCCTTAGTCTAACCCTAAAACTGTATGTATTACAGTTGGGGGTCTGAAGAGCAATTCTAGATGTTCTTGGAGTCATCCTTTTAGGCCATAGTATTTTTGTGCCTTCCCCCATATGAGTGCTGGATTTAACATTAAACGGTGAGACCCAGAAGTTAAGTAACTTAGCAAGGCTACCCAGCTTGTTAATGACAGTGCTGAAGCTAGAATTCCAGGATATTAAGAGATGTAAGAAGCTACTTTAGTAAACCCCATTAGAGAGGAGGCAAACAAAGTTAATATTAAGCACTCTAAAGAAGTTTAGTAGGCTGGGCACCGGTGGCTTAAACGGCTCAGGCGCCAGCCACATACCCCTGAGCTGACAGGTTCGAATCCAGCCTGGGCCTGCCAAACAACAGTGATGGCTGCAACCAAAAAATAACCAGGTGTTGTGGTGGGCACCTGTAGTACCACCTACTTGGGAGGCAGAGGCAGGAGAATCATTTGAGCCCAGAAGTTGGTTGCTGTGATGCCACGGCACCCTACCCAGGGTGACAGCTTGAAGTTCTATCTCAAAAATAAAAAAATTAAATTAAGAGCCATTAGTATTTTTTTGAGATAGAGTCTCACTTTGTCACCCTCCTCAGTAGAATGTCATGGTGTGACAGCTCACAGCAACCTCAAACTCTTGGGCTCAAGGGATTCTCTTGCCTCAGCCTCCCAACTAGCTAGGACTATAGGTGCCCACTGCAATGCCCAGCTATTTTTTTAGAGATGAAGTCTCACTCTGGTTCAGGCTGGTCTCGAACCTGTGAGCTCAGACAGCCCACCCGCCTTGGCCTCCCAGAGTGCTAGGATTACAGACATAAGCCGCCACACCTGAAGTGCTGTTACATCTTTAACAACATAGTTTAGAGATTATGTCATAAACCAGTTGCAGATAGACAAAATAATTGCTAATTGTAATTGATCATTCATATACATACTCTTTTGTTAACACATTGCTCACTATCATGAGTTACCAGTAAAATGGATAGCGTGTAAAACTGCCAGTCAACAGTGTGTTAACATTGTTCCCAAAACTTAACACTATGTCAAATGATGCGACTTCTTATGAGTTCAGATGCTTCCTCTACAGCAGGGATTAGCAAACTACAACGGCCTGTGAACCAACAGTCATCTGCCATCTGTTTTTGTACAGCCTGTAAGCTACAGATGGTTTTTGTTTAAGGGTTGAAAAAAGTCAAAAGTGGAATAGACAGTGACATGTATAAATTATGTAAAGTTCAAATTTCAGTATTCATAAAGTTTTATTGGAACACAGCCATGCCATTTGTTTGCCTATTATCTTGACAACTTTCAGGCAGTAATGGCAGAGTTGAGTAGTTGCAACAAAGACCTAGGACTTAGAGCACAAAACATTTACTATTTGGCCCTTAACAGACAAAATTTGCCACTTCTACAGGTTAGATCCATTCTAATCTGATTCAAATTGGCTTAAAAAAGGGGAAAACATTATTTCACAAAACCAGAAGTCCAAACTAAAGCAGGTTCCAAATCAGTATGACCACTGTCTCAACTGTGAGTGTCATTAGGTATCCAAGGTCTTTTGAATGTTGGCTCAAACTAAACTAGCCCCGTATAGTTTTCAGAGAGCTGCAATAATTTCAGCACATGCAGAGGAAGAAGAAAACTGTCCTGATTGTCATTGGAAAATTTAAAACATATATAAAAGTAGAATAGTGTGATGAGGCTTGTATACACCTATCACTTAGATTTAAAAATTATTAATTCATGGCAATCTTGTTTCGTGTACAAGTACCCACTCTAGAATTCTTCTCCATCCCTAGGTTATTTTGAAACAAATCCCAGATATCATTTAATTTAAATTACATATGTTTCACTCCGTAACTCCAAAAGATGGGTTCTTTTTAACATAACCACTATACTATAAAGTATCACTCCTAAAAGAAATTAATATTTCCTTTCTTCATAGGGTCCAAACATACAAGTTCAAATTTCACCAATTATTACAGTTTTTTAACAGTTTGAATCCAGATATAAACAAAGTTCATACAGCTGGTTACAGCTGTAAGGTACAGTGCCCAGAGAAAAGGCAGACTAGATACTTGATTCTTTCTCTTACTGGTTTTCAAAAAATGAGTTGGTTCTTATGCAGAAAGAGTTAACGTTGCAGGCCCGAGACTACTGTCCTTAGAAAGGCCTGCTTGCAGATGTGGCCGTAAGCTGCCATCTGGGAACCTGGCCCTCACCATTCCTAGAACTAGTAAGACCCTGTGCCTAACCTGTTTGTACTAATTTGTTTATACTAACCACTTGCTTAACTTCTGGGAATCTGGAATTTTGGCAGAGGGATACCTACATGACAACCCTAATAAAAACCTTGGAGACTGATTTTGTAACGAAGTTCCCTGGTAAATATTTCATACATATTGTCTTGACTCACTGCTGAGGGAACCAAGCATGTCCTATGTGACTTTTCTAGGAGAGGGTCCTTAGAATTTGTGCCTGGTTTCACCTTGACTTCACTCCAAGTATGTTTTCTCTTTTATGATTGTTTTATATCTTTTGTTACAATAAGTCATAGCTGTATGATTAGATGCCAGTTTCTAAGTCCTAAGCAAATCAGCACCCTTGACGCACCAAAATATGACTGAGAAGGGAAAGGATGAAGGGACTGGAGATACGGCAAACCTTTGGTGCCTGGGCAGCTACAGAGTCGATCCAAAATACAAAATAGCAGCTGAGATTTGTCTATTGAGAAAGGTAAAAATTAAGTAACTTGAAAATGACACAGCCAACTCCAGGAGAGCTGATTCACTGGAGCACCTCTTACCTACTTTGGGCTATGCTGGCTAAAGCAAGCAAGTAAAAAAAGGTGTGCAGCCCAGATAATCTGGTTTTTATTCTCTCCTACCAGTGGGAAGGGGGGGGAAGGCCCTAGAATTCCCAAAGACGAGCTTTGATTGGGCCAAAAATGTTAAACATTGTATTGCTCTTTCCTCACATGTAGGAGGGAAGAGGGTGAATCCATTCCCAGGGCTGGAGCAAAAAAGGGGCAAAGGGCCTGCGCCAGTCTTTCCTCAGCCTGCTGCTGCTGACGGCCCTAACCCCACTCCAGTGAGGATCTCCAGGCATCTGTAATGTCGATAAGCCTTTTGCTAAATTTACTGCAAACGGTTTGATGAAAACATCTGCAGTCAGGAAGTGGAGGGAAGGGGTGGCCTTATTATTTGCAGTTACTACATCTATGCTTATAAAATAGAAATTGATGTAAATGTTTTATGCTTGCAAGTTTACAAATGCTAAAGGGCTCATCTCAGTCAGGCAATGAAGCAAAGTTAAAGTATTTGTGGGATGCACAACTTCCTTGCTTTTTGCTGTCATGGG